CTTTTCCTTTTTTAAATTTTATTTAGAGTATATAGATTAATATAAGACTATTAAAATTATAAATAAAATTAACGAACTATATTTTTAATAACCTCGGATCGTAAATATAAATAACTAATACGTTACTTTTACTACTATTAGCGCCCTTTAGGACGTTTAATTATATAAACTTAACTTTTCTATTTTAAATAGACCGTTTATTAAACCGGCTTTTATAGTTTATTAAGACCTATAAGCTATAGAATTATTAAATAATAAAAAAGCTACTCTTTTTAATAAATTTACTTACTAATCTAATTAAAAAAAGTTAGTTATAGTTTAAGTTAGGATAGATATTTTAATTAATACTTTTTTAAGTACTATTATTACTTAGATTTAAATAGTTACGCTTTAAATTAAAGGCCCTACGATTTTTTAGCTTAATTTAATAAAGAATATAAGCTTTTATAAAATACTATTCCCTAATTAAAAAGGGATTATAATTTTTAAAAATAATAATATTATAAATTTTTTAAAAAAGTTCGAGGATTAGTACGAAATCGGTAGGGTCCCGGACCGATTTAAGAGTAAACTTATTATATATATTATAAGAGAAGATTATTAAACTCTAATTAAAAATATAATTAGAGGATTATTTTAGGCCTAAGCTAAGGATTTTTTTTTAAAAAAGTATAGGAAATAGAATACTAACCGCTTTTTAAATAAGGAAGAGTAAATTAAAAGAGTTATTAAGGGATTACTTATTTCGTTTTCTAATCTAAACTTTATTTAAGTACTATTTATTAAAATTAATAATATAATTACTTTTACTAAATAATAAGACCTCTATATTATAACTGATAAGAGCTTAATTAAGGCTATATATAAGTAGTTTTATATTAATATTATAAAAAAAGTAGTAGAGGAAGTCGGGGTTATTTTAAATAGCTTTATTAAATTAATAAAATATATAAGGTTTAAAATAGGATTTTTTAATATAATTATATATAAAAAGGAGTATAGCTTATTTTTTATAAATAGCTAAAGTTAACCCGAGCCCTTATTATAGCCCCTTATTCCTTAAGTACGTAATAATACTTAATACCGGTATTTAAACTATTAATAATATTACTAATTAATAATAGAGGTTTAGGTTACCTAAGCGGCTATTAATAATATTATTAATTTTAACCTAGTTAATAGAATGAGCAAGCTAAAGATTTATTAAAATAATATTTATTCTCGAGGCCTTACTTGTATATTTAATATAAGTACTACGTATCCTAATTAACCCCTAATTATAAGACCTAAGGATCGCTACTAATATTATTAAAGTTAATATTACTAGATTATTAGGGATTATAATTAGTATATTCTTAATAAGGATATTTATTTTATTATTTTAGCTTAGGGAGCTTAATATTATAAAAAGTATAATAGTTATAAGCTTATAAATAATATCCCTTTTATTATAATTAAAAATAAAAAAAGGTATATAATTATTAATCGTATTACTCTTTTTTTTTATATAGTAAAATCGGAGTTTTGAGTTTTTTTTTTATTAACTTTTTAACTTTTACCCTAAAGTTAAAGTTATAGGGCTAATTTATAATTATCGTTTTCTAAGTTTTATAAAAAAAAGGCTCTTAAGTTTTCTAAGTACTAGTATTAGGAGTACTAATTAGAACTTTAATAAGCTAGGGCTTAGAAATAGATTTAGGAATTACGTTCTTTACTATCTTAAAAACCTCGTTATTATTATTAATTTTTATAATTTCTCTTTTTTAATTAAAAAAAGAAACCGTTTTCTTCTTAAGTTATAAAAACTAGCTTAAGCTATTAATCCCATACGTCTTTTTAAAATAAAGTTTAGTTACTAAAGTACGGTTTTTAAAAAGTCTTTTTTTATAAATAATATAAACGTCTATTTAATTATAATAGTTTAAATTAAGTTATATTATATAAATATATTTAATTATATTTATAAAATTAGTTAAAAAGAGTATAAGTATAGTTTATTAAAGTAGTCCGATTTAATAATTTAAAATCTACTTAGCTAAGAGCTTAGTATCTTCCTTAATTAATATATTTACTTTTTATAAACCTCTTATAAAAAATTATATTAAAATATATTATAATAATAGTAATTTTAATATATAATTAAGGGTATTTTAATATTAATAAAATCTTATTAAAAGCTCTAAAGTCCTTAGTTAACTTAGTAAAAAACGGATAATAGTTAAAAAATATTAAAAAAATTTTTAATAAGTATAATAAGAACCTCTTTTTAAAGCTAAGCTATATAGCTAAAATTAGTAAAATTAGAAATATTAACTTAATTTTTAAAATTCTAATTTTTATAATCTCGAATACTTATTTATAATTAGAAATCTAAATATTTAATATAAATTAGAATAATAAAAATTCGATAATTATTATAATCTTAAATACCGGGGCGTAAGTTAATATTTTTTTAAAATAATATATTAAAAAAGCCAGTATTTTTTATATAGTAATAAAGTTTTAAATATAAACGTTTAAGTACGATCTAACTAGCTAAATAATTTTTAATAGTTTTTATTTTATAAATATATAAATTAGTAAGTTTAAAATAACTACTTATTTTTTTATTAAAAACGAATAAGAGACCTCTAATTTATTATTACTAAGTCTCTTATTTATATAAAATACTAAGCTATTTTTTAAATATAATAAGTTAATAATTACTACTCTAATTTATATTAAAAACGCAAAGCTAAGGATCTTAATAAGGATAATTAAAACGAACGGGTTTTATAACGTAAAGGATATTTTACCCTAGTTTAAGTAATATATAAAGGAAGTTTTTAAATTAAAAAACTAAATATTAATAATATAACTAGGAATATTACTAGTTTTAATAGCCCCTATTTAGAATTTAAATTAAAAAAAAAACGAGCATATTATAGTAATTTTAAATTAAAACTAAGCTAACTAAATTATAACTATAGTTACGCTTTATATAATCTAGCTTTAGATTATATAAATTAGGAGAATAATAATAATTACTTAGAATAAAGTTAAAAATAGGCTAAACGGATTAGCTAACTAAAACGATTTACGTTTTTTAATAAGGACGCCTACTTCTTAATAAAAAGAATTATATATTAAATAATAAATTAAAAAACTAAAATAAAAAGTATTAAAATTATACGAGGTAGCTAAAAAAGCCTTTTATAGGATTCCCCGTATTACTAAAACTAATATAATATATAAAAAAAAAGATTAAAAAGTCTAGCTAATTAATAATACGCCCTCTAACGGGTTAATACTTAATAATAATCTTTATTAAAAACTTAAAAAGCTTAAAAAGATTAAAAATAAGCTATAAAACTAATCGGGCCTTTATAAAGATATTATTATACCTAAGTTCTCTAATATAGAACTAAGCTTTAAATTAATAAACGATCGATTTTAAATTATCTTTAAAAATTATAACTATTTTCTATTTTATAAATAAGATCTCTTTAAATAAATACTTTTTAATTAAAAAAAATACTAATATAAAACTTCTCTAAATATAGCTATTTCGACCTTATAATCGTACTATTATAATTAATTAAAATAATACTTTATAAAGCTTAATAAGTAAAAGGTATTCTTATCCTAAAAGCTCTATTACTAAAAGCCTTTAAAATAATTTAAAAATATATTACTCGAGGTATTATTAAAAAAAGCTATATTACGTATTAAAACCCCTAGTTTTTAATAATAAAAAAGGATAACGGTTTTTAATTAATTAACTTAGTAATAAAAGTTAATATTATTACCCTTTAGGACGCTTAATAACTACTTAATACTAACGAGTTCTTAGAGGAATTTATTATAAATTAGCTTATTTCCTTCTTAAATTTCTTTTTTAATTATAATTAAATTTCTTTTAAATAAAAAGAGCTACGATTTAATAACCTTCGTAACTCTACTTAGGCTATATAAATATTATTCCCTCTTATAAAAAATAATAAATTTAGTAACCTAGTTCTATTAAATTATAACCCGTATTTTCTATAACTTAATTTTAAAATACTATAATATTTTTATTAATAATATCGTAATTAAAGGCCCGTAATTTTATTATAATAATAAGTATCTAACTAACTATCTTAGGATCTAGCGATTTATTTATAAGTACTTTTAAAATATTAATTAGGTCTTAATTAATATTAAGCTAATTAGCTATACGGTTTCCGAAGTAAAGTTATAATAATATTAGCTATTTATAGTTATTATAAACTATTTTTATAAAATAAAAAGGAAATAGCTTAATTAAGCTAAAGTTTTTAAAATTTTTAAATAAATAAAATACTTAAACGTTTTAAAAATTAGATCGTTTTTTAGTATTATTACTTTTTATTATTATTAAATTAAGTAATTTTTTTTTATAATAGTTCCGTTATACTCCCTACTTAATAAGAACTAATTTTTTAAATAGGGAGTATTATAAATCGAGGTTATAAAAATACTTAAAGAGGTAATTATTATAACCCCTATTTTAGTTTTACTAAACTATAGTACTAAAGCTAAACGGATTATTTTTATAATAGATACTAGTATTAAAAAATAGGGTAGTATATTTAGTTAGATTATTAATAATAAGTATATTATTACTTAATATAAGAGCGGGATATAATATAAATTAGAGCTTAATTATAATTTTAATAAGCTCGAAATACGAAGCGTTTTAATAAGTTTAAAGCGTTTTTATAATTATTTATTTAAGATTAATTTCTTATTAAAAACCGACGCCTAGGTCCTAGTTACTTAGATTAATAATACTATAAATAACTTATTATTAATAATAATAACGCACTAGCTCTTTTAAATTAAACTTTTTAATTTTAAAATTAAGTATATTAACGGGAAGAAAAATATTATAACGAATAGCTTTTTAAAAAAACCCCTTAGCTAATTTAATTTAGTTAAAATAAAGCTTAATAGGGATATTAAGGACTTTATTAATATACGAGTTTTATAAATACGAATTATCTTCGCCACTTCTTGGGCGTGCCCACGTTGGCCACGATGGCCACAGCGTCGAGCTGGCCGAGGGCGCCCAGCCCGAGAGGGGCAGACTTGTCGACGGGCATCTTTGGCCCACTGATTGCTGACTGTATGCTGGGAGAGTAGGTTCTCGTCGAGGTGGTGGTTTGTGTATTGATGGGTTTGTTTGGTGGATTTGTTTGGTGGATTTGTTTGGTGGATTTGTTTGGTGGATTTGTTTGGTTTGAATGGAGAGCAGCTTTGGGCGATGTTGGAAGCGATGAGGATGGAAAGAATCTTTGCGAGCTCTGGTACGAGCAGCAGATATTGGCCCATTTGGCCCTTTCTCCGGAAACCTCTACGTCGCCATCAAAGTTCAGAACCTCTGCGGTTGAGGAAGGCCGCCTCCGACCATTGCGGCCGACCATTGCGGCCGACCATTGCGGCC